TAGCTTGGTATGGTGGTACAGGCCTTAAACTCTGGAGGGAGAAGCGGGTGGATCTGTATGAGTTCAAGGCCAGCCTGGTCTACCAGGTTACCCAGAGCTATGTAGTAAGCCAAAGAAAGCCTCAGCCTCTGTTGGCCACTCTCCTCCAGATGCCCTCTCTTACCGTCCATGATCCACAGCCCAGAGTCCTGCTACACTGCTCCATTTTTCTCCTGCAGTCAGTTCCCATGACTTCCTTCCCTTAGCCATCTTACTCTATGTGACCAGCCACCCCGGGTTGCCTGATTCAGGTTTCCTGGGACATGGGGTATGCTTGGTCACCTTGTGGTATTCTCTATGGTCTATTTTATTCAACTCCATGGCTTCGTTTTTCCCTGATGACATCATCATTTGTTCAGACCACCTTAGCTAGAAATCTGAGTCATTATGCTTCTCCTTATGCAATGAGTTGCCAAGTCTCAGTTTTCCCTCCTAACTAATTCTTGACTCTGTCCTCCAACCTGCTTTACTAGACTACTTCAAATCCAAGGGTCACCTGTATTCTCTTTTCACCTCCATTATCTGTGAGGCTGTCATAGTGAAGTTTTAAAATGCAAGTCAGTAAAACAAAAAGCCAACAGATTAAGAAATGAATCAAAACTTTCCTGAGTGCCCACTTGTGTTCTAAGCAGTGAACAAAGGAGTCACAGCTCCTACCCATTTGGACCAGCCATGACTTTCCTAGAGCATTAAGCTTAAAATTGGTAGGAACTTGAATCACAGATATCTGTCTGCCTCCTTTTAATGCTAGGGAGGGAGGCAGAGGCAAGCAGATCTCTGTGAGTTTGAGGCCAGCCTGGCTTACATAGGGAATTCTAGGCTAGGCAGGACTGGTTCCACCCATCTAATTCCTCCTACTCCAAGCCTTCTCTAACACAACTAGCCAAGCAGAGCTTGCCCCCTGAGTGCTAACAGAGTTTATGCCCTATCACATATTCTGACACCTACTACACCACACTCTACCATAGATTTATATGGCTGTCTTTCTGTACACCATCAGCTACTTATGTACAAAGTGTGCACCATTTGCCAGTTTTACGGATTCTTCCACTTTGCTCTCTCGCGTCTTCCCCATTGCAGAGATTATGTTAGAAAGGCAGATGAGGCGGTGGACTCTTGACTGTTTATGATAATGAGGGCCATGCTAATAGAAAACCAAAAAGGCAAGGACCATGTGCTCTCGAGCATGTCAGTCAAATGCAGTCTTTTCCTCACAGCTCTTGATCTTGCTTGTGTCAGCAAGTCACTGTCTTCTGCACAGGTTTCCCCAAATAAATCCCAATTGTTCTCTTATTAGTTTCCCTTCTCACTTGCTTTTGTTTTCTTTTTAATATATTTCCCTTTTTACTGAGTTTACGACAAACCTTTAAAAAAGGAATTTACATATAGTTTAACATGTTTCTTATTTAATAAAGGCAAGTACTCTATTTCTAATAATATATGTGAAATACTCTTCAAAGTGAGTGAAAAACTTGACTTCCTGCAGAAAATATTTCCTACACATATGATGACTTACAACCTCCCATTTGAGACCATTAACTTTCCTCTCCTTATCAGTTCTAATCATAACTTCCCCCAGAACTAAACCAATTTTAGTCCTCCGTAACATTTTCTCAATCTAAAGTTACGTTTAAGTTACTGAGGAAGGATCTTGTTTGTTAAAGACTAAAATAATACTTAAAAAAAAAAAGAACTAAAAACAAAAATTTGAGCTGGGCAGTGGTGGCGCACGCCTTTAATCCCAGCACTTGGGAGGCAGAGGCAGGCGGATTTCTGAGTTCGAGGCCAGCCTGGTCTACAGAATGAGTTCCAGGACAGCCAGGGCTATACAGAGAAACCCTGTCTTGAAAAACAAAAAAACAAAAAAACAAAAAACAAAAAAATTTGTTTTGTTTCCTCAAGAAAAGGTTTCTCTGTGTAGTCTTGGCTGTCCTGGAACTCACTCTGTACATCAGGCTGGCCTCAAATCCAGAGATCCACTTGCCTCTGCCTCCTGAGTGCTGGGATTAACGACACTTAACCATACCTTTAAATTTACATTTTATATTTTCTAAACATGACTGAGACAGTATCTCCCTCCCTAGATACTGTTATACATTTTCTTATTAGGAGTGGAGCCCAAGCACTGAATCAGGGAGGACTTTTGAGGGACTGCTTGAGGGTGAAGCAAGTCAGAAAGATGAGTGGCTTCTGTTGTGTATGAGTGGCTTCTGTTGTGTGCTTGAACAGCTGTATAAGAAATCTGACTGCTTCAAGACACCATGCTGTAAGGAAGCCCAAGCCCTGTAACACCCTGGTCTACAGGCCAGCTAAAGTTCAGCTGGTAACTAGTAACAACTGCCAGTGTACACAACGATGATTAAAGACTGGGCTGCAGTGGCTGACACTTCCCAGCTAAGACTCCAGATACCATTCAGCTAACATGGGCCATTTCCACTGTGCCCTGTCCACACTGCAGAATCTGAGTGATAAAATGGTTATTTCTGGCCAGGCAGTCAGTGGTAGCGCACGCCTTTAATCCTAGCACTTGGGAGGCAGAGGCAGGCAGATTTCTGAGTTTGAGGCCAGCCTGGTCTACAGAGTGAGTTCCAGAACACCCAGGGCTACACAGAGAAACCCTGTCTCGAAGAAGGAAAAAAAAAAAAGGTTATTTCTTCAATTAAAGTTTGGGCCAATTTGTTACACATAGTAATCAGAAGAGTGACAAACTTCACCAACAATCAAATCACTGTGCTTCAAAGACCACCACCAAGAATGTCCATAGACAACCTGCAGAACAGACGTCAGTACTCTGGTGTTGTGCTGAACTCTATCAGAGCATCCCTGGAACTAAGAAACTAATACATCGTGGAATAATGTTTGGACACAAAAACAAATACAAACCAATACATACTTCAGCTTGGACAAACTTTGAAACATTAATTGAAAGAAACAAGGTAAGTATGAATATGTGTGTGTACATATATATAATATTCTATAGACAGATTAATAGTTGTCTAGGAAACGTGAGGTGAAGAGACAAGTTAAAAAACAGCTGGAGTGGTGAAACACTGTAAAATTATGGTTATACTGAGAGAAAAAGGTACCTCCCAGGCATTTTAATCTGCATCTGACTCATCAGTAGTGACACTAAGGGCTATTTTGTTTTGTTTTTAATGTGTATGAATGTTTGACTGCATGTATGTCTGTGCAACATGTGCGAGTACTGCTCCTGGGGGCCAGAAGGAGGTGTTGGATTCACCTGCAACTGGAGTTATAGGTGGCTGTGAGCTGCCATGAAGGTGCTGGAAATTAAACCTGAGTTCTCTGGAAGAGCAGGCAGTATTCTTAACTGCTGAACCACCTCTAGTTATTTTTTAACTGGTTCAAAGTTTTTGCTTATGTATCTGTTGTGTTGCTTGTGATTTACCAAATGGGATGATTTCTGAATTGGCATTAAATATCTTTCCTGCTTTGAAAGATTAAAACAAAACAAAAAAACAAAAAAACCCTGCGTATGGTGACAGCTGCACACTAAAAATACTAAATATACTTTCAATGGGTAAATTATTTAGTAGTTCAATATAGTTCAAACATATTTTATAAAACAGTTAACAGTAAGAGTTAGCCCCGCCCCTCGCCTAGGCAAAGGGGGAGAGCTGGCCCTGGTGGGACAGGCACAGGGGAGTCTGAACAACACAACCACTACCCAACTGGGCACACAGGACAGATGGCATGTTAAGGCTAGAACAAGCATCTATAGCTCTACTCCTTCGAATCTTGACTTTAATGTCTATTAGGTGACTGTAATAGCAGTTGCTTCATTTCATATTCAAACACCTATCACTGAAATGAATAAAGCACAGCCAGTCATGGCCCATGTCTCTAATTCATCACTGGGAAGGCAGAGGCAGGCAGATCTGAGTTCAAGGCTAATCTGGTCTACAAAGTGAGTTCCAAGACAATCAGACCTATATAGTAAGGCACTGTTTACAAACAAACAATAAATAAAGCTCTTATCTGTGTCCATTCCCAAAATTATTGCAACTCTTAGGTTTAGACCAAAGCTGATCTTGGGCAATCTTGTTAAAAACAGGTCTAAATCTAACCCTGAGCTAACAGCTTCAGTTCTTAAGAACTTGAACATCACAGCTAAAGTCAGTCTCCTACACCAAACCAGTCAGCTCAAGAAATCAAGGGTTTCTAAGACATGTACCATGTTGCTACAGCTCAAAGAAAGCTCCTACTACTAAAGAAACAAATGAAAACCAGACTGCCCAGGAGCAGAGCAAACCAAAGGCGGCATTTAACCCACACGTGTGTCCTCAGATGATTAAGTGATTAAGTAATTCCTCCTCTTTGGACAACATTCTGCAGCTTTGCAGATCAATGCTCTAACATTAACTCAAAAGCTGTCATTTCTCTTTTGGCCTCAAATTAGATCTGTTCTAACAAAAGAAATAAAAAGGTTTGGCAGAATGCAAGAAGAGCAGTGCTCTATCCATCCTGAGGACTTGCTTTATTTTCACTCAAACACTCTATCTTTAGTATATTTAATTAGTGTGTGAGTGTGTACATACATGCAACAGCTCAAGAGTGGAGGTCAGAAGACCGCCTCTGAGAGTCTATCCCCTTTCCAAGTCCCCAGAATTGAACTCAAGTCATCAGGCTTAAGAGCAAGCACCTTTGGCTACTTGAGCCGTCTCACTGGCTCTAGTCCTCATACCGTATACTATCAGGCAGCTAATGTCAAACACGTGTTGACCTAAATCATCATTAGCATCAGTCAACTCTGACATACTTAGGAATAGGGAACTGCCTCCATTGGAAGGGTCTATGGGTATATCTATAGGGCATTTTTCCCCATTAATTTACTTATTCACTTTACATCTGGATTGCAACTCCACCCCCACTCATGGTCACCCTACACACAGCCCCTCCCTGATTCCCCTCCCCTTTGCCTCTGAGAAAGGAGACGCTTTGCCACTTTCCCCCTACCCCCCACATCACCCCACCAAGGCACATCAAGTCACTGAAGGGCTAAGTACATCCTACCCACTTAAGGCCAGACAAGGTGCTGCTCAGTTAGGGGAATGGGGTCCACAGGAGACAGCCTCTGCTCCAGTTGTTGGGGGTAGGGCATTTTCTTAACTGTTAATTGATATAGGAGGGCCCAGCCCATAGTAAACAGTATCATCCCTGGGCAAACGGTTCTGAGTTGTATGAGGAAGGTAACTGAACAAGTCAGAAGCCAGTATGCTGCACTCTTTCATGGTCTCTGCTTCAGTTCTTGCCTCTATGTTCTCGCCTTGTAAGACGAATAAACCATTTCCTTCTCACACTGGTTTTAGTCAGTGTTTTATCACAGCAACAGGGACTATTATGAACATATGGGCCATAGTTAGGTCTAACAAACGCATGTGAAAACATAAGGATCTAAGACAATAAACATAAAAATCTAAGCTATAAATAAGACTGGTTAGCCCATTTAATAAAATAGTTACTTTTGTGTTGCTTGAATAAAAGATCATGACAAAAGCAACTTACAAAGTAAAGAGTTTATTTGGGTGTACAGAGGGATAAGAGGCCACTGTGGAAAGAGGGGTGTCAGGTAGAGTGCTTGAGCAGGAAGCTGAGAGCTCCTATCTTCAAATGCAAGCATAACCAATAAATCAGAGAACGTGAACATCAAGTGGAGAAGATCATCAACAGTCAAGCCTGCCTCCAGTGCCTCCAGCAAGGCTGGGCCTCCTAACCGTCTCAGGACAGTGCCACCAACTGGGGACCAAGACTTCAAACATCTGAGCCTATGTCCCTATGTCGGATCATTCTCATTCAAATCACTACCCGAGTGATGTTAACCAAAGGCTGCAAACTATCACAACACATTTGTATACAAGGTCACTGATCCAAAAGAGAGAAAAACAGGGCTGGAGAACACGAGGACTGGAGGTCAGATCCCCAGAACCCAAGGAAAGCTGGATAAGTAGCATATTTCTGTATTTCCAACTCTCCTGTGGTAAGAGGGAGGCAGAGATCAAAGTATCCTCAGAAGCTTGCAGGCCAACCAGTCTGCTGTACACAGCAGAGAATAACAAGAGACCCCTCATACTGGTTAGAAAGGTAGAGATGAAACCAAGCTTGTCCTCTGACCTTCCCAGGTGCCACCCACCTTCATTGGGGTGCATGATGTGAAAATCCCAAATAATCAATAAAAAGATTATGCTGAAAATAATAAATAAAAACAAAGTGAATGAAAAACTCCAACATTATCAAAATTAGCAGTAAAATGAACTTACTGTTTGGCCTGGTTAACATGAACCCCTAGTGTATAGCTTAGCCACTTGTAAGTCACCTGAAACAAAAAACAATTTTTAAGGTTTTATTAGATGATTCCAGAGTACAGATTAGTGTCAAGAGCCTGCTCCTAAAGACTCTTATTCTTGGATGGCTGTGTCCTACAAACTACAGCAGATACCAATTAGAAAAAAACATGTGACAAGTAAGGCCAGGGAACTTACAAACACTAAAATGTTTCACAGACTAATCAATGCAAAGCAATCTACAAAGGTGGGTCAGAGAGATGGTCAGAGGCAGTGGGGAAGGCACTTGTTACCACACCCTTAAGAACCTGGATTTCATCTGTTGGAATTTTATATGGTGAAATGGGGGAACTGGTCCTCTGACATCTACACATATGCCATAGCACACGGCAGTGTGTGAATGTGTGAGAGTGTGTGTGTGTGTGTGTGTGTGTGTGAGAGAGAGAGAGAAACTAAACATAATTTAAAAACGTTTTAAGAATCTACAAAGCCAAGTCAAATATATGCAAAGATTATTTCGCTCACACTCCTTGTCTTACTTAAACTCTCTGACACTCTTGTCTTTGAGAAGCTACCTAAAACTATCCTGAAATTTATCTAAAACCTAGATTATGGAAAAGCATACAACCCAGGAACTTCTTAGTAAATCAACTATAAACGTTGAGGAACAGGTGGTGTTCTCAAAAAAAAAAAAAAGAGAGAGAGAGAGAGAGAAGAGCAGATAAATGTAGCAACGGGGTAACTTTAGGGACTACAGGCATCAAGCCTCCATCCTTCCTTGACCCGGTATGTGTTGTTTCGTACAATGCTAAACGATGCATTCTCAATAAGAAGACTAATAAAGATCCGTCAGAGGCAGAGTAGCAGACAGAGAGAGGCAGGGGGGAAGAGACAGACCTAGGATTCAAGATTTATCTATCCAGTACTAATGGCCCATAAATACGTCTTTTGGCCCTTGGTTAAATCCCACTTCTAGGGATAACACAAAAGCCTGGAGGACCTGGGAGGTGTGAGTCACTGTAACCACCCTGTTCCAAACTGTGTCCATGGGCTCACAAGGGCAAAGCTCCTTCACATCCACGTCTCTCTAGATGTTTACACTAGCCAGAGAACGCCGGCCAAACCGCTTTCGATATTTCCAGGAAGAGGAAACTGTCTCTGGAGGGCAAACCACCCCTAAGTCGTCCTGCCTCCTCAACTGCACCCCTGGGACTTGAGCGGCCCATCACCCGACAGAACAGGAAGAGGAGCCCTCACGAACCCCACCTGCTTCCCAGGCACCACGCCCCCGAACCCACAATCCAGCCCAAGGCCCACGGGCTTCGGCGCGCCCGGGAGGCTCTTCTCCCCTCAGGGCGTGTCTCCCCTCCGGTGTTTCGCGGTGACTAGTGCCCACCTCGGCCGGTCCCCGTGAAGCCACAGGCACCGGGGGTCGAGAGCGTCCGCCGACCTGGGAGGCCCAGTCCCCCTCAAACCCGCCTCGCACGCCCGCACCTCCATCCCCTCCACCCCCCAGGTCCTAGCTCCTCACGATCTTGTTCTGGTCCGTGACGAACTCGTCTATGTTTTCTAGATACAGCTGTTCGGCCATGGTGGTGCGGCTCCGAGCCCTTCGTTCAACCCCCCTTCAGCCTCAGCTCCCGCCGGCGGGAAACAGCTTTGCTCACGCTCAGGTCACAGGTCGTCTCCCAGGGCAACCAAGGCGCTACGCTACGGCGGCGGATGAGGGCCAAACTAGTGAGAGGCCGGCTAGGGCTGATGTAGGGGGAAGTTGGAGCGAGACCGACCGGAAGTGAGGCATGAGATACGGTTGTCTGTGTGCAACTGAGAACTTTTCGGATCTGTCCGCTGCCACAAGTAGACTACTCATGACTATATATTTCACTGCTATGAGTTAGAGTCTTTCCGCTTGGAAAGTGAGAAAAATATCTCTTGCTATCTAACACTGGAATTCAATGGTAGTTCACTTTCCTAGCCTGGGCTTTATCCCTAATGCCTAGGGTGGTGTGTGTGAACTAAATTCTTGAAAAGAAGCCATACCTGCAGAGATTGATTGACTGATTAGAATTTCAGTACCGTAAAGAGCTTGGAATGTTGCAGGTTCAGAGACTAATTACCTTATCTTTCTCAACAGTATTTTCTCTTAGATCTCAATGCCTTCATTGTAACTAAACTTCAATCAATGTACATTTATTGAGAGTCTATTGCGTGTGGGTGTTATGACACGAAGACAGTAAATTGGTATTCTTATTTATTAATTATTGTGTGCATGTATGGGGGCCTGAGTGCACCGTGGTGTTCAGAGATCAAAGGACGATTCCAGAGATTCAGTTCTCTCCTGCCATCTTTATGTGGCTGCCTGGGACTGAACTCAGGTCATCAGGCTTGTGTGTAAGCACTGTGCCTGCTGAGCATCTCACTGGCCCCAAGATCATATTTAAAATAGTTTTTGACCCTAAAACCTTTCAGTGAATTTGAAGACACAACTCTAATCTCTTTGACATGGTCCTAGGTTTATTTACAGGCATTTGTTATGATTCTCTATGAAACCCACACAATCCATTTGCTGGGTTTCTATGAGACTAAATGAAATATTTTTTTAAAAGCACTTGTTCAATATGTCTATTGCATAATAACATAGTTACCATGTATTATTAGTGTGACTGGTGAGCACAGTTCAAAGACTTATGTGTGTTTCTCAGCTATAACTCCAGCCAAATAAAATGATCTGATTTCTCATCTGCTCTTTTCCCCAGTCTTTTCACATCTTCCAGGAAACCCTTGGTTGACCTAAAGATCATGTCCCTAATCCTGTGCCTCTCCTTGTTTCTTCTGTCTATGCCTTCATCTAATTAGCAGCTTTTTCTTTCTAATTCTAAAAAAACCTAAACCATGCAGTCTTTTCAGTTTTCACTATCCCATTTTGTTTTTGTTGTTGTTGTTGTTGTTGTTGTTGTTTTGTTTTCTCCCTTCCCTTCTCCCTCTCGCTCTGGCCCTGCTCTCTGCAGCCCCCCTTGCTCCGGCCCAAAGGTTTTTATTTATTTATTATATGTGAGTACACCGTAGCATTAGATCTTATTACAACCACCATATGGTTGTTGGGATTTGAACTCATGACCTCCAGAAAAGTAGTCAGGGCTCTTAACTGCTGAGCCATCTCACCAGCCCCCTTGCTTGTGTTTTCATACAAGTTCTTACTATGTAGCTCTGGCTAGGTTGGAGCTCCATAGGTAGACCAGGGTGGTCTTCAGCTCACAGAGATCTGTTTGTTTTTGGTGGAATCAAAGTATGCACCACCATGCCTGTCACAACTATTTTAAGCCACTCCTCCTCCCCCTCCTCCTCCTCCGCTTTCTCCTCTCCTTCTCCTCTTCTTCCCTTACATCTCTCTGGAGAACATAAGCTCCATATGTACTCTTGACCACAGCTCTACCCCCTCCACCCCAGCACCTAGAAGACTATGTGGCCCTTTGTAGGCTTTTGCAAATCATATCTCATTTGAATTCATGTTGCAGCAAACCTTTCAAGTTCTTATTCCCATCTTATAGATGAATAAACCGACTCTTACATGTTAAATAACTTACCTAAGAGCACACAAGTAGCAGAATCAGGACTCAAACCCAGTCAGTTTACCTCCACAGCCTGTTTCTTATCCAAGCCACCGTGACTTACCATCACTGAATGGGCAGGTGCCATGATAGACTTTGTATTTAAATAGTCTCATGTAATCTCTTCAACCATCTAGGATGTGAATATTACCTGTATACTAATGTATAGATGTCACATAACTTAAGTCTTTGTCTCAATTTTATAGAAACTGTTCAGAGTTAAGTAGCTTTCTCCCAGCCGCATACGCAGCAAATATGTTCCTGTCCAGGTATAGGAACACCCACCTGCTCAAAGCTGCCCATCCAGGGATGCTAATACCCACCTGCTCAAAGCTGTGCTTGTGTTAGTGGTAGCATTGGGCTGCCTTTTGTTCTAATCCTTGGGGTTTTGTTGTTGTTGTTTTTGGTTTCTTTCTCTTTTTCCGGCTGTTTGACTTTTTACAGATCTATATCATTTTTGTAGTTAGAGAAAACAGAAAAGGTGAAGCAGTAAGCAATATAAAATCAACCCGTTGTCTTATTCCAGATATCGGAAGGGTTTTCCATATTTGAGACATGAAATGCAATTCTTCAAAAAGGAGTGAAGCTAACATTTTTGCCTATACTTTCTGTGACACGACTTCAGAGCAAACAGAACTTTCACTCCCTCTGCCTCGGGGATAATGTTTATCATCAGTGTGTCTCCTGGGAACTCAGCTGTTGTCCAGAAACCAGGACCAGCAGTCAGCCTGAGAGCCAAAGATGGCCAAACAAAACTTGAGCATGTTAGTGTCACATGACACCAGCAGTGGGAGCCAGAGGATCAAGACTGAGCCTAAGGTCGCCATCAGCACCAGAAGGCTGCCCTTCCTTCCTCTTCCTCATCATCTCCACCATGACAGCAGTGAGCACTGTGATTCTGTCAGGGACCTGAGTGGGAATACAGGCAGGCCTCAGTGCTGGACAGGGTGAGAAACACTCTACCTACATGCAGTCAGGCTCCCCAGACCCAGCTATGGGCAAGCGGGCAGGCCTTTGACAGGAAGGGGAACCCCACCCTGGGCTCCAGGACTGAGAAACAGGCCTTATTGACACAGAAGTGTCAGATGGATGTTAATGTGTTTGACACCCATTGCCTATATACCAGATCTTATATGACCTCATAGGAACACAACATGATCTTCATCTTAGAATTTACAGCCTGGGGTTACAATTGGACGTTATGTTAGTGCATCACATGGTGCCAAAAGGGGGTGACTATTCACGCTTAAAAATAGGAAGGAGATAACTTTGAACTTGGGTATTTGAGGCTAGACACCATGTCTTTTCATGCAAAATATGTAAAAAATAAACTCAGAATATTGTCTTTAGTGTGTCCTAACAACAAATAACAAGTCCACATTTCCTCTTTTCAAAAGGGTTCTTCTAGGGGTTGGAGAGAAGGACCAGCAGTTAAGAGCACTACCTTTTCCAGAGGACCTGGGTTAGATTTTCAGCACCTTTATGGTGGTTCACAACTGTCTATAATTCCAGTTCCAGGTATTCTGATTCCCTCTTGTGGCCACTGTCAGCACTGAACAGAGGTGGTATACAGACACACATGCAGGTAAAGCACACACACACAAACCCACACAGGCAAAGCACACACACACAAACACACAAACACACACAGGCAAAGCACACACACAAACACACAGGCAAAGCACACATACACACACCAGCCTACAGCTTTTTTTTTTTAAGTTCTTCTATGACAACGTGTAACATTTTGTATAAGGACTGTCATGGCATGTAAATCCAGCAAAGCCAGGTCACATAAACCTCTGGACAGGAGCCCAAAGGACAGTGTGATAAGCCTTCAAGTACTTGTGAAAAAATACACCAGTGTGTAAAAATCTATTATCAAAAATAAGTGTGGGAGCCACACAGTTGCTGGTTCTTTCCCACCTGCACTACCCCTCCTGTCTCTGATTTTACCCATGCCTGGCTCCAGAAGGCCATGTATCTTTTTTTTAAAAAAGACTTTGTTGTATTCCTTGTTGTTAGTGTTTGTTTGTTTTGAAACAGTATCTCGCTATATATCATTGGCTGGCCTGGAACTCCCTGTGTAGACCAGGCTGCCCTTGAACTCACAGAGCTCTATCTGGCTCTGCCTTCAAGTGCAAGGATTAAAGATATGTACCACTACACCCAGTCCTCATCTTACTTTTAACTGTGTGTGTGTGTGTGTGTGTGTGTGTGTGTGTGTGTGTGTGTGTGTACGCACATGTGTGCAGGTACCCACAGAGGCCAAAAGAGGACACTAGACCCTCTGAAGCTGGAGTTACAGGCAATGGGTTCTGGGAACCAAACTCAGTCCTGTGAGCCATCTTTCCAACCCCTCCCATGTGTATTTTTAATAACTCAGTCATTTATAAAGAAAAAAAGCCAGAAGCCTCCATTCCCCTCTTGCATCTACTTTCAATATTTTCACTTGTTCCCTTCACTGGGGGGTGGGGTATGGCTTGGAGAATGCTTCGGAAAAGATCACATTGTAAGAGAAAGTAAGCAGGAATCCCCATTTGGACATGTGCAGCAGGCTCCGGACCACGCCTGTCCTCAGGCTTGAATTAGTAGCCTGACAGTTAGTTATACAGGGTGACAGTCAATGGGGAGGATTAGATCTCCCAGGGAACAGACCTTCACTCAGGGAAGACTAACAGTTAAGGGACAGTGAAGAAAATGCCTAGAAAGGGAACTGACAGGGAGGATGATCCCTGGGAGGGCTCACTGGAAACAAAAGGAGAAGTGAATTTGCATTGCCAAAAGTACCACTGTCCCTCCATTGTCACTGTGGGGTTTGGTAATTAGAAGGGCACTGGGGACATCAGCCAGGGAGTGTGTGGGCTCAATTAGGGCTCTGTGAGGTAAAAGGTGAGGAAAATCGAGAAAAACTGGAGCTGCCTCTGGCCAGTTAGCCAGGTGGAAACAAAGAGTTGGGAGGGGCTGTGGAGGGTTATGTGGTTCCTAGCACATCTGCATCTCCCCTACAGGAAGTTCACCAAGTATCTGTATTAGCAACTGTCAC